ACCCGGTTCACTGATCGGTGACTTTAGGTGGAAAGAACTAATGAATGCATAATATTTGAATACGCAAGGGTACTTGTGATGATTTGGTGATATATTTTAGGTGCGAATAATTCTAAAAGAGGAACGTTTGAAATCTGATAAAGTAAGTTCATTTACGGGCTTTGCAGACAGAAATCCTAAAATGTAATTTATGTGGCTTTAAAAATGTCACAGAATAAAGAGTAGAATGTAAAAAGAGTTATACTCTCCTCGTTTTCCATGGGGCGAAATTTCCCAGTATGCAGTATTTTTGTCAAATATTAGAGGTAGAAGAATATATTTTAATGGAAGGGGGTTGATTAAAAGAAACAATATCCAACGTAATTGAAACAATCTTTGGGAATATTTTATGGAGAATTTCTTTTCTCGACAATCCAAATTTATGCCTGAAAAGGGAAGATTTAAACGTTTTGATTAAAAAAAACCCCACATTTTTAGGGGAGGGTAACCATCCTGCAACAAGGATCAAATATATGGAGAAGAGAAGAGCGGTTTTCAGTACATAATTGCAACAGTAAAATGTTATTTTAAAAGTTTAATAAAATTTGGAGGGGTGGTCCTCATGATGGCATGTGCTTGTAAATTTCAACCTACGTTAAACTATATCTTATTCATTCTAAACAATATGTACAATGTATTTTCTTTAAATTAGCTCCGTTTGAACTGTGAAATTAATTGTTTGGTTTTGTGTGGGTCAGAGGTGTTCCAATTTGATTAGGTAACAGGTAGCATTGGTATGTGCACTGCTGCGATGCAGATACATCCATTTTGTAATGCTAAATGACTTTTATGCTCAATTATTGCTCATTATCTCCACACATTTCATTTAAAAATCAAAAGTATCCTCTAATCAATACTCGTAAAATCCGTCTGAAACATATGGAGATAAGGAACATTATTCAAGGTCAAAAGTCCATAAAACAATACAAAACAGGGGCAAGTAAATACGGGCCTTCAAACCTTCAGAGGTGGGATCTGGAGCCATGGAGGAGTGAGCATCCCCTCTGGAACGGCCACACCCGGTGTAACGTTGAATTTTGACCCGGGTTGAAACTTGACCCGGGGGTCATTTTTCAACTTTGAATATTGAGACCAAAGGTGTTGAATTTAGACCTAAATCCGTTGAAAACTGAGCCGGGTCGTGGAATTTTCATCATGAAACCGGTTCAAAATTCAACAGCACAAAATCACCAATTCGAAAAAGGTGACATCACTTATTCGAATTGGTGATATCGCCTATTCAATTGGGTGATATCACCTTTTCCATGGAGGAGTGAGCATCCCCTCTGGAACGGCCACACCCGGTGTAACGTTGAATTTTGACCCGGGTTGAAACTTGACCCGGGGGTCATTTTTCAACTTTGAATATTGAGACCAAAGGTGTTGAATTTAGACCTGAAATCCGTTGAAAACTGAGATATCACCTTTTCCCTTCGAACAGCTGTAGTTTTTTTTTGCTTACAAATTAATTTATTTCACTTATATATCATGTATACAACACGAAAATCGTAGAAAACGCATGAAAACTGGGTAGTCCGAATTTTCTTGGTTCCAGTGGTAATCTATATATTATAGGGATCATTCATTAATGACTGTTGTAAGAAACTCAAATAGGTAATATCACCTTTTCGAATAGGTGATAGCACCTATTTAGCACGAAAAGGTGATATCACCTTTTATTCTAAGCTCTCTGACTTGATCACATGATTAAGTATATAACAGCATAAAGACTATTTATAGAAACTGAAATGCATATTTACTTCATGTTTTTTTTTTCTTGTGATCATATGCTATATTGCAGGAGTCCTTTTAGAAAATTTCATTAAAGTAAGTGACATCAATCCCCCCCCTGCCTGGTTTTCTCATAGAACAATGTTAAAATGGAGATAATTTTTTGTAAAAACAGTAAAAGTATTGATTTCTCAATTAAAGATAATATAGATTATGACTTGATGTTTCTGAAAAAAAAAATACTACAACTTGTACTAATATTTTTCAATGTTCCGTAATCGATGAGACGTAACAATGCCTTGAAGTCTTTAATTTTAGGATCTACATGTACTTTATATTAAAACATATTGGATATATCTTTGTCAAAAATTGATACGAGACATAATCAGATAATTAAATTAGCATTCTGAATAACTAAATCCTCTATAATTACTCCATCAATGTAAACGAAACACATTTATTTAATATTAAACAGCAACAGCTTAATTTATGCTGATCCCTAGTTTCTAAGTCTTGAAGAGAGAAAACTTGTGCCTTATTCCCAAAATTTTCAAATTTTGTTTTGTCAATCTATGTGATATAATGATTTACATTCGATAATAATGTGAAACTTTACATTCCTATTTAATTGAGTTTACAACCATTTCTAGTTTAATTTGTCATATTTCCCAGAATGCAATCATGGTATTATTGAAAAAGAAAAGAAAACATCACATAGGAAATCATAGAGATAAAATTATGCAATAAGATGAGTAGGTTATCGAATAGGAATCGTATTTTTTCGAATAGAAATGGATGCTGGTATGTTTTCGAACAACAACTTTATTGCATATAAACCAAATAATTATCGATTTAAAAAAAATTATCGAATAGGAATGACAAAATTAGCGACTAGCAACCGATTGTTTTAAATATTAATGACATCGAATAGGAAACGCGTGTTTTCGAGAAAAAAAAACATGTAAATTTTATGATATATGAATCATATTGTCAATTTCCTGTAATTGGAATAGCAATTTATCGAATACAAATTACAAATAATGGAATAGAAATAACAAGTAATCAATTAGGAATCACATTCTATAGAATAAAAATGTTTTAGAATAAGAATAATCTCATTCTCAAGGTAATGGTCCGAAAGCGATCAAGCCGAGACAGTCTACCGACAAATAAGTTAATTGTTACAGGGATTTCAACAATTTATTTAAAGTCAACATTACTTACATGCTATGGTCGCTATATTGCTCTTTTCACAAATATAACCTATCATTGGAATCATTTTGGTCGATGTGTTTCATTCTAATTTTTAGGCTATAAATTTTGTTATTTTTTATACTGAATTTGACTAGATGGGATGTTTCGCCCAACTGATAAATATATATAGGGCTACTTTCTAGATTGCAAATTTTTAAGATTTTTGTTTTATGCCCTATTTTGTAGTTATTTATGGATGCCATGGATTTTGGAAAGTATTGACAAAAATAAAGTTGTCATGCTTGAAGATAACTAAAACCGTGCACTGTTCAAAATGTACATGTTTACACGGGGTGATACTGTATGTTTATTTCTATTATTCTTGAAAAGGGGAAAAAATTAAAAAAGAAATATAAATAAAGTGATACTGATAAATCCCGTAAAACAGCTTCCCAGCTAAAAAAATGTTCAAACTTTGAGGTGGGGTCAATATTCAACAGGGTCAATTTTCAACTTGTTGACGTCGTCAGGTGTAAGAAAAAAAAATATCAAGCTGTTGAAAAATGACCCCGGGTATAAATTCAACGACTTTTGGTCTCAATATTCAACGTTGAAAAATGACCCCGGTTCAATATTCAACGTTGAAAAATGACCCCCGGGTCAATTTTCAACTCGGGTCAATATTCAACGTTACACCGGCCGTGTGCTCCTTGTCATGTTCGGGAAATATCAGAAAAATCGGTCGTCAATTCAGTGTAAAACATGGACTAATTAGTATGAAAAATGTCAGTCAGCATTTGACTCCGTGAAATACTGAAGTTGCTGACAAGGTCATAGTATCGACTACAGAACTTACAAAATGATTACGAACGAGTCTGCTGATATTCTTGTTTCATAAACTTGTTTTTCAATAATTTATCTCGTTTTAAAAATTGTTCAGAGTTAGGGCATACGCCTATGTATCGAAGCAACTGAGATATATAAAATCCATATGCAGGTTATTGGGTATATTGCTGAAAAAGTAAGGGAAGTTGATGATAGGAAAGTTAAAGTCATCACGTTTATCATAGAGCTTAATTGTTTTATTACTATTGATGTCGTTTCCAAGTAAAATATCCAAATAAGAAACAAATATGTTAGAATCAGCAGTATATTTCATAAAAAAGAACTAGCAGTAACACGTAAGGTAGATCCTATGTCGGAAAAGTCTTTGTCAGAAGATTTTCAATTTTTTCAAACTGATAAATTAGTACTTGCTTATCAATTAGTTAAAAGATCATGATATGTTTCCTTGTTTTTAAAATTTAGTACAGCCTTTGAGACTTGGTATGGTAATTACAAACTGCGACTAAACATTTTCAGTTATATTTAGGGGTACTTGTCATGAAAAGAAAATGAAAAATCACCGAAATTCTTCTTTTAACATCATCGTTCACAGTCTTTATTACTATAAGCTTGAATACTGTTAGCTATCTCCATATATTTCATGTAAAAGAGAGAGAGAGAGAAATACAGCAGAATATGGTTGGAATCACATAGAAATAATAAATACAAAAGTCGTTATGTTATATAATTTTTATGCAAAATGAAAAAGATTAATCATTTGAAATAGAAAGAGGTATCGCATGATTTGCAACGGCAGTAGTTAAACTTAATGACCAATGGAAATGTACTGATCTTGATCTCACTTGACTTCACCCACCGTGTGCTCCTTCTCATAATCGGGAAATAAGGGATAAACCCTTCGTCGATTCAGTGTATTAATAATAAACTAATAATAAGTATGAAAAACGTCAGTCAGGACTCAATGATAAATTATATTTGCTGACAAGGTCATTGTATCAACCGATGCCCTTGTCACAAAATATTTCCCATCATAAAAATTAAAAAGAAGTTTAAAAGCTGCATAATACATATCAATTTTCAGAAGATTATTTTCAGCCGGGACAACCAAGCAAAAGATTCCTCGGTATGGACATACGTGCTTTACAAAAAATATCAAGTTCTCACCGTTTATTGTTATTATTATAAGTGAATTAACAATAAGATCTTTTGTGAATTGTTTTCAGCGGGCCTTTGTCATTTGATTTTACGAAGATTAACTGCCCATCTTTGTCTACTGACTTAAACTTTTCAGTTTCCTCATAATCAAGGTCTTTCGGCAATAGAGTAGAAAATTTTACAAACTCGCTGGCATGAATTTTTGCCCTTATCTTTACATCAACCCCCAATGTCAGGCCGGTTGCTAGGTGGGGGTCCCCCTCTTTAGTAGGTTGGGTAAATGTATTTGTACCTTGCGTCGTGATTTCCTCAAAGAGTGGAGGGTTGGGTGAAACTGACTCCAAAGAGACTGACTCTGACGAGACTGGTTCCGAAGGTTTCGGTTGTGATGGCTGCTCAGGCTGCGTTTCTGTGGCAGGTGTTTGTCCAGTTGTTTGACTGCTCCTGTTGTGGTAATCCGCCATGCATCGTTTAAAGGTGTCCTCAATGGTTGGCAGAATGGCAGCCATGCATGATTTAATCATGTCATCTTGGTCCTTCTGTGGCATTCCTGCAGTGGGTGGAATCTGATTACCATCGCTGTTCTGGGCTGATGCTCCTTTGCTCCTCCTTCTCCTCTTAGGTGTTGACGCCATGTGTTAGAAGCTGAATATAAAGTACAATAAGAAAAATCAGATTTAATGTTGCCTGGTTGAATTCCTAACCTCATAAGTAGCTTTCAACGCTTAGTCAGTTCAACCATTAATTACATGACATTGAGCTTTATATATCATCGTACTAGTGTACGATATATATCGCTCAGGCTTAAACTACCTTGTAAATATACTGGGCATAACATAGCACAGAGGCATTGCATAAACGAATAATTAAAAATCATGCCAATAAAGTGCGAATATCATAGCCCTAAGGCTTACCTTATGTATTTTCCACATTGCAAATTACACATAGCAGTTAGCTTCTAAAGGTTTATGTGAGCAATGCACCTATAACCAGCAAATTATACCAGAATAACATAGCACATTGGCTTCATGTTAACCTTGCACACAATGCTAGAATATTGTGGCCAGCATAGCACTTAGGCTTTATGTCAACATAATATGAATGGCAATTACGTAGCACTTTGGCTTTTTGTAAACATTGCACTTGCAAGTATACCGAGAATAACATAGCACTACCTAATTGAGGCTAAGGTACTAAAAAACATAGCAGTAGTGCTTCATATAACCATTGCACATAATGCAAGTGTACTGAATAACATTACATAGCACTGAGGCTTAATGTAAACATTGCACATAATGCAAGTATACTGAGAATATAACATAGCACTCAGGCGTTATGAAATACATTGCACATAGTGCGAATATACTTGGAAATGCATAGCACTAAAGCTTAGCGTATAACTGTATGTGCTGAAATTTGTAATGAAAATTAGGAACAAAGCAGTTACCTGTGTTCGGACAAATATATATAAATGTTTGGAACAGTCTTGTCTGTTGCTCTAAATATACACCTTTAACTGAAAAAATAGAGAATATATTAGCCTAGGAAATTAATACATGCATACAATAATAGTGCTTTGACTGTGATAAATTGTTTATCCTTAAATGATAATATAATTTTAAAAATACTGACTCAAATTACACATATACATGTAAATAAAACAAAGGTTTAATGTGTAAAATGATTATCCATTGTCTTATGATCTAAATTGTTTTTTAAAAGTAATTAGAACAGCAAAATTACAGCCAGAAGCCCCTGTCTTCAATGCTGTTTTGCTGAAGATGAAGGTCCCTGTCTGTGTTGAGACAATAGCACGCCCCTAATCTGTCTGCAAAGTTTATGATAACCCAAACTGTTCAGATGTACCCCATCGCACAAAATTGGGTCGCGGCTTTCAGCAAAACCCCTTAGTCTCCAGAACACTAAACCGTGTGAGAAACAATAATCCTTCAGAAGAACGTTAGCTTCTTTGACCCTCTGATTGTAGGTGATATTGTTTATGTTTCTAGTCAGAGACCTCGGGATGAAGCTTAATACGGTCACAGTTTTCAGATTAAATCCTCGTTTTAGCTGCGTTAAAAATGCAGTCAGTTTCGATACGACACACTCAGAACTATAATCTGGGTCACGCGAATCTAGGTCATTACCCCCGATAAACACAATGAGGTGCTGCGGGTTGTAGCGTCTAACTGCAGATAAAATGACAGATAAATGGTGACCCTTGTTAAGCTTACCACGTGATTCATACTTTTAGAGTTATATTTGGATTTATCAAAATATTCTTACGGGTGGGTGTATACTGCAAGTATACGGGAGGGCATTTGATCCCTCTGCACCCCCAATTGGTCGAAGAAATTCCAGTCAAACTTCACCTTCCAGGTAAGTCTCGTTTAACTTTAGAATTTCTTCTCCCAATGGGGTGCCTCAGTCTCAAATGAGACTTTAGAGTTGATAAATCCAAATTTTCAATTTTCTATATTAAATATAAAGCTGAACTTGGATCCGCATCAAAGCCTACTTTGGCTGTTGATACGTAAATATAATCGTAATTCATAATGTCTATGATTTAGTTGTATAATAATATTATCTTGACTTTTGGTAATAATCAATATAAAGCAGAAGTCAATTTTGTTTCAAATCTATTAAAAAGAAATAAACACTGGCATACATGACAAATATATATGTGACATTCAAACTTGATCATATTTAGAAAGCATTCTCTGACTAAAATTGTCATCCACAATGATAGGCTTGTTATAATATTTTCTAAAAACACAGTCACTTTTCCATCCAACAGTCTTCAAGATGGTAGGCATTGGAAGTTTGCGCGCGAGCGCTGCACTGCTGGACGCCGCCCTAGTACTATGGGGTTTGAATATGTTAATGTCAATTCCAGCGGAACACATAACGGATTTCATCCATCTGCCGACGGTGTCCCTAGACACCCGCGATGGGGTTTCTGCGTTGTAACGAATAAGTTTGTAACATCATTTCTCAGGTTACTCGTTCTTAGAAGGTAGTGTTTCATAACACGGACAACACATAAACTTTCATCATGGGGATAGCTTGAGAAATTTAGCTCGCCCATATGTGACCTAGGATTTGATGTTTTCAACAGATCACCTATAACAATTTTCAAAATTTTGTCATCGACATGTACATTTCTTATATCTATTAAATGCAACGTTTGACCCCTTTGTCCTGACAATAACGCAAGTAACATTAATAACTTGTGAGATACATGTAACAAGGTCAAATCCTTTAAAGGTTCTAGAGATTTCAAATAATCCAACACAATATCTACATTCCATGTAACACTATATTTAGGTAAAGCAGGTTTCATTATAAAAACACCTCTCAAAAATCTACAAACTAAGTGATGTGAACCAATATTTACAGAGTTTGTTAATTGTAAAAACGAAGATAATGCACTTCTGGCAGTATTCAACCCACTGTAACCTAAACCTGCTTTATACAATTTTGTTAAAAACGCCAAAACATTATTTACATTTGCGTCAAACATATCAATTTTTCTTTGCTGACAAAATAACATCCATTTTTGGTGATATGTCCAATATTGTTTCTTTGTGGATTCCCTCCACGAAGAGAGGAGTACGTCGATAGTGTCCTCCGATAAGCCTCGGTTCTGGAGCGATTTCCGGACACACGAAAAACACCCAGTCTCATCTTGGGGATCGGATGTACTTTGTCTGGATTGTTCGGTAGCTTCAGAAGTTGCTGATTGTTCGGTAATAAGTAGCTGCTCGCTGCTATCAGCTGTAGTAATTTGGGAAACCAGGGTTGTGTCGGCCATATCGGGGCTACAATGACTGCTTCCACATTCTCTATCATTATTTTCTGAAGTACCCTGCTGAGAATACAGAAAGGACAGAAAATATAACATTTCAATTCACTCCATGAAATTGTAAAAGCGTCTATCGCTATTGCGTGTTTGTCAGGGGCATATGACACATATGTAGAAATTTGTTTATTGTATCGGGATGCAAATAAATCTATGTCACAATTCCCGTATAGTCTTGTAATCTCGTCAAAAATCTCTGGATCAAGCATCCATTCCATATCAGGATTAAAGTTTCGTGAAAGGTAGTCAGCTTCTACATTTTCTACACCTGCTATATGACATGCCGTTACCCAAATGTTTCTTTTTATACAAAATTCCCAAAATTGCTTTGTTAATTCATTTAGGGTTTCAATTTTTCCTCCCATTTTACTGATATACGTAACAGCGACGGTGTTATCTAAATACAGCTTTACATGACAGTCTTTCAAGTATTTGCACATACGTGTCAAAGCGAGAAAAGCTGCTTTCAGTTCCAGGAAATTTATATGAGATTCCTTATCGTGGTCATCCCATACCCCCTGAATGCACTCAAGAAGTCCTCCGCTTAATCCAAAGTAATTCACTTCTTTTATTCCGGCGATGTTGAAAACGGATTCAGCTGGACGGTCGGCTCCTATGAATGACTTCAGTCTTTTCACATGCGAGTCTCCAACTATCAAAGTTGACATCGTCAGCACGATATAGCAGGAATAAGATCAATCTCACAAATAGGACTATCACAGAGAAGTGAAATTGGTTCAGAAAAATTAATTTTTCCAGGTTATGACTAGGCCTATGAGGAATACTATGGAAAACTTCGTAAACACAGTTTGTTTATACTTTAGCGTCACTGCGCGCCATTTGCACTAGGTGAACCTTGAACCGACGCTATCGATTTTTCACGCAAATAGCAATAAATTGTACACATTTACCTATGGAATCCTACGCTGTGTATCCTTGGTGCTGCTATAATGTTGGTATAGTCGTTCATAGATCGTTATTTATAACGCACAAGCATATAAAACATCTCTTTACAGACAGTAAAAATATTGTGGTGTTTACATAAGGTAGAATGACTGCGCATGCGCTGACTAGCTAATATGCATAAAGTTAAAGTGCGCATGCCTGAACTAAAAATACTTCAATACAATGCTAAAGTCAATGTAAACAAAAACATGTGTCCTGGTCATCATGCATAAACTATTTATTTACATAAATTTGTTATCTTTCGGATTAAGCACGCACGGATACACGTGATAATTTAGTGATTATATGTTCGGCGCGAATAATACTGAACGGAGATCTTTTGGAATCTTACAAAGTAAGTTCATTTATAACAATCACATTATTATTAAACGCTTAAAGCTTTTAATGAAATCAATCTATGAAAAGAATTCTTCAAAAGAATAGTAATGTATTGAATTGTTTTATTTCCCTAAAAAAGTACTCTTTTAAAGTAATGGTTATATTAACAAACACTTAACAACCAGTATATTCTTTTGTTTTATCCCAATTTGAAAGTCAGAACTTCAAAAAGGATTTTAAATCGGCAATGGTTTGAAATTCCCTTCAAATGAAATACTGTTACGACACATAGCATTCTTATCAATAAAACGCTTTTTACCTAATAAATTCTACTTAATGAATGATTATTTGTTCATATACAATTATATTCAAAAACCAAAAATATGTCTTAATAGACTTTATCTTGTGAATCTGAATTTAGAAACTGTATGTTTTAATTTGATTGATTACTCATTTTTTTATTCTGAATCATTCATGATGAATTTTTTTTTCATGTAGAAACATATAGACTGTCTTACCATTAACCAATTAATTGATTGATCGATTGATTGATTGATTGTATGTTATTTAACCTCCTGTCCGAGAATTTTTCATTCCTATAAAGAGTATATCTATCTCCATATCCATTATCATATGACTGTAGATATATTATAATCAGCTTTACAAAATTCTTTTCTTATATACCATAAATAACTGTTTGTCATTCAGTTTTTCCGTTGATTTTATGTAATCTTGTCGACATTCCGGATCTCCAGATCATGGTTTTCTGAATCAGCTTTACTCCTGCCTGAAAAAAAAAACCTAAAATAAATGACGTTTTGTACACATTAACTGTTTGTTTAATGAAAAAAAGTCATTTCATTGATTCGAATTATTTTAATTTTATCATAGTTTGCAAGTTGTAAGGGTATATATATAAAAAATATATCATTATATCAGTAACTTGATCCGAAGAGCAGTGCATGAATTATGTCTCTTTGAGAGGCGCGGATCATCAGATGAAACTAGACGCAAAACGTTGAGTTTGAGCTGATGATCCGCGCTTGTAAACTGACATGATTCGACTCTTTGTATTTAATTACTGTTAGTATTATATATTTTCATCATTTTTAGCTTATAAAGACAGGATGGTCATAAAAGTTACAGGAATTCCAAGACATTCTTGCAGCAGTTCTTACTTGTTCCACCTTTTTCAGAGAGGTATCTATAATTTTCCTTCTACTTCAAGATCCAAGGAAACTTCAATATGCGTTTCTACTTCAACTTTGGAACGATAAATATTTACATTTGCAAATATTTTTCTTAAATGGATCTATTAAAGAAAAAATATGTTATATTCTTTGTGAATTTATTTGGGGGTCAATTTAGTTCATGGTGCGACTGAATCACACGGCGAGATGATATCTTGTTTACATATCAATATCTGGTGTTGTAACTAGTGAGTTAAAAGCGATGAAACACATTTCTTTTCATGAAAAGATAATCAAAGATAAAATTATTCAACAGATGTTCAATAGATCTTCCTTTATGTGAAGAATATCTGAAATGCTATAATTAGCCTAAAATCGAACCTGCCCTTTTAATCCGAAATTCCTTTGAAGTTATGTAAACTAAAACAGGTGATACCCAATTGACAATCCTGGGCTGTCTCCGTTGCGCTCTATTTAAACATCGGATGTGATAGGTGGTTGGATACACATCAGGTCTATATATTTCTCCACGAAACTGCCTTGTCACTCATTTTATGTTTTGCTCTGCACAAAGTATTTCGAAGATGTTTCTTAATTTGTCTAATCTTTTATTGCAAATAGATTTTGATTTCAAAGTTTTGCAAATAAGTTTTAAAGAAAAACAAATTCGTAGGTATGCCTCAAAGTAAGTTAGATTTCAAATGTATAACGTTTTAATAAAAGGCGTATTGCTGACAAAAGGGTCCTGTATTTGTTGTTTATGTACTCTTCCATGGTCAGCTAGTTTGTTACCGGACTGCCCAATGTAGTTTCCCCTGCTTGAAGAACAAGTCATGCAGTATATTTAGGTCTTTCCACCTTTCTGTGGAAAGAGCTATTGGTTTTCTTCTGTTTCTTTTTCCTTTTTTATTATTTTTCCGCCGTCTGATTTTGAGTTTCAAGATTTATCGAAAAGATTTTAAGTTCGCAGTTAACCCTGCGTATATGAACTATGACCCTTTTTGGAGTTATTACCCCTTTCGCAAAAAAGCTTGTTATTGCTACTCCTTCAAAACCGTAAACCGTAGAGAAATGGAACCTTCACTATTGTTTCCACTAATTTAGTAGACACTTCAGTGTTTCATTTCAAAAGCATTTGTTGAGCCCTTATATGAGTTATTGCCACTGAAAGTTTTTGAATTTTACAAATAATGAAAAATTTTCAAAACGAGAAGTCGTTGAGACATGGGACCAACTGCATAAGATTCATTGACCTTTGACCTTTAAATTTATGCGAAGGTCAAGGTCATTACAAAAATAAGAAATTAAGCTCTTTTTATATCTCTTTTGCCTTTCAACATACAGTTAATGTCTTTGCATCATTATCATGTACTCTTAAAACTCTTTCAAATATTTCAATCTTGTTCCCTGAGATTAAACCTATTTAAAGTTATTGCCCCTTGTGCGAAAAACCTTGTTATTGCTACTCCTCCAAAACCGTAGAACATAGAGACTCCAAACCTTCACTAATGTCTTAAGGGACTTATAGCATAACTTCACTGTTTAAGTGCATAAGGATCTGATGACCCTTCTATGAGTTATCGCCCTTTAACATCTTTATACTTTCTATTAAACCTTATAACTTGAATACTATAAGCTACAGAAGCATGGGGTCAACTGCATTGTGACCCTCGACCTTTGTCCTTGAAAATTTTTACAAGGTCAAAGGTCAAGGTTATTTCAATTTTTTTAATTTTCATTTTTTTTTCTATCCTTTAAAACAATTTTGGATTCTTATTCATGGAGTCTAATTTTAAGGAGTCAGATATAAAACAAAATTGAAATTCAAAGAAGGTGGAAATACCTCTTATTGTTCTGTGAACAATAAGTCTCTTAGTTATGTTTTATTTTGCATGAAATATTTGCATTGACGATTAATGTTTTACATCATTTAAATTTAAACTTCTCTCCTGTTTTAAATGAGGACAGGTTTCACATAGGGATTAATACTAATACTCGCCTGATTCCATTTTTGCTATGCCCAGTGGTTCCTGTTTTATTGTACATATCTTGTTCAGATGATCACTGTTCTTCATCTGTATCTTTTGTCATTACATATGTATGTTGTATTTTTGCATTATAATGAATGTAATTTACCCGTGAACTTTTCATTTCATTGAAGTTGCTCAAGTCAGAAGAGTACAGTTTGATGCAGATAAGGTAGGCATTTTAAAAAGACAAAGATCTCGAGATTGATTGTTTGATTGTTATTTTACATCCAAATCAAGAATTTCTACTTATGTAGAGACATCATCCCATTGCTGATGAAGGACCCCAATTTTAGATTTATTCTCGGAAGTCAATTTAATAGAGCAGTAAGGGCCATTTCCTATCATATAGATAAAGCCCTTTGATGATGTCAATCAGACGTCGCGCATAGTATTGGAGTTTGAAATTGCTTAACTAGTAACACTGTTAACGACGGGCATTCGTATTTCTTGTCATTTTATCGTTTTGGCTACATGGATTTCCCTGCCAATTAGTACAATGCTTCTATAATGTCCTGTGATGATGTCACACAACATTAATAAATTTCCAATTTATTGGCTGATTCCGACTGCATGTTCGAAAAATTGGAAGAATTCTGCCGTGATCTTGTGTTGCAACCACTATTGAAATAACGACCACTATTGAAATAATTATATCAATAGTGGTTGCGAGTGCATTTCAATAGTAAACTTAGTTAGTAACCACTATTGAAATACAACCACTATTGAAATAATTATATCAATAGTGGTTGAGAGTGGATTTCATTAGCAAATATAGTTAGTAACCACTATTGAAATACAACCACTTTTGAAATAATTATATCAATAGTGGGTGAGAGTGGATTTCAATAGCAAATATAGTTTGCAACCACTATTGAAATACGACCATTATTGAAATAATTTTATAAATAGTGGTTGAGAGTGCATTTCAATAACAAACTTAGTAACCACTAATGAAATACTATCACTATTGAAATAATTTTATCAATAGTGGTTGAGAATGCATTTCAATAACAAACATAGTTAGTAACCACAAATGAAATACGACCACTATTGATATACAAATAATCATATCAATAGTGGTTGAGAGAGAGTGCATTTCAATAAAAAACATAGGTAATAATCACTATTGAAATGCAACCACTATATAAATTATTATTTCAATAGTGGGTGAGAATTCATTTCAATATAATAACCATAGGTTTCAACCACTATTAAAATACGAGTACTACTCAAATAATTATTTAATAGTGGGTGAGAGTGCATTTCAATATGGTGACCATAGGTTTCAACCACTATTGAAATATTCTACCAGAATTGAAAGAAAAGTTTCACCACCTCAGCAAGTTTTGAAATAATTATTTCAATATATACTGGATTCATTGTTCAATGCACTATAAAAATCGATAATTTAATCCATACTGAAATTTTTATTTAAAAAGTGAACATTATTTCAATAGTGGTTGCGCATGCGTGAGATAAAGCGGTAGTCTTAAAAAAGGCTCCGAATATTTTTTAACTTTTTCTGT